AACCGAACGACCGTACGGGTAGGAGTCATTTATTACAATGCACACAAGCGCCTGAGTCATAGCTGTTTTAACCGTATGGAAAGCTCTAATCTGGTTTCGACTGCTATCTATTGCACTATTCGAAAACCTGATTGGGTTCTTCTCGAAGTATTAACACGCTCTATATCTCCTCTATAAAATGGGGCCACGAGAAGGACAGCACGCACAGTCTTGTTAAATCCCGAGATGTGTCATTCCTGGCCGTCAGCAATCAGGTATCCGCTGGAGTGGCCTTTGTCCTTACCATCCTGGGAGCTGGGTGTGAGTACTTCAACCCGGTTTTAAAAAGCAATTAATTTTATAATCGCTCGATCAGTGTGCTGTTTCAAATTAAGCTATCGCTAGACTCAGAAAATAAGCAAGAGAATTACAAAATCAGCCGACAAAAAGTTTTTATTACATTTATTTTAGCATATGTCTTTATTGGGTAAATGAACACCAGGTCCTATCTTCCAGAATTTTATGAGCTGCACTTGTAGAAAGTGAGTTTTATTTTAGGGTAATAACTGTTTATGCGTATACATATACAGTCTGTTCCCTTGTGCATGCAAAATGCGATTAATCCCTTCCCTAACCTTTTCCGTTATTTTAAAAAACCGGCTGGTAATTTACATAATGTTTTTTACTTGCAGCCTCCATTAACTGGTCTTGGTCGTACCGGGAGATCCGGATTCCCATCAGTCTGCATTTGTTCCTGTCAGGCTACGCATGCTTTCACATGGCAATAGGCAAATATTATGGCATTCTGGCCAACAGCGCAAAGCTTTGCCAAAAGCATGCGGAAAAGTTAACAGCACGGGACTTGAAAGAAGCCAAGAGGGATCTTTCCATTTGGCTCTGCGGCAGTGCACTACTCCTCGTCGTCGTAATGCTCGAGATGCATGACCTCGTATCCTTCCGCCAGTGTATGAGTATCCAGACGGTACTTGATTCAGCCGGAGACCGATGCTGTTCGGAGCCTCATTGTAACCTTCAACCAGCATTCGTGGACTATGGCTACATTTACTATCTGATTTACGGCATCTACATGGTCAATGATATTTTCTCCGTTGTTATGGGCATGATTGTTCTAATTAAGATGTCTGCGAAAAAAGTAGCCCTGGTTGCACATAAAGGTGTTGATATCCGCGAGGAAGAGAAAGGCATGGAGAGAGATCCGCAAATGGATGCTCTGGACATTGGCAAAACCGTTGGTGGTCTGCAGTGTAGTGAGTTTCCAAAGGAAACTGTGATCAAACAGGACGAAATTCAAGGGACGATGCAGCAGCAAATCAAAGATCTGCTTGTGAGCGAGCAAACCAAAACGGCCGAAAGCTAAACACCACTCCGGATTTAAATCCCATGTTATTTCTTATTTCCGCGCGCCATAGCTAAAGTAACACTGCAATGAATGGTGCTTTGCGTGAGTTCGCAGAGAAGCAACTGCGCAATTATGTTTAAAAAAACCCTCACTGTTTTGCAAAATACGCATAAAGCGTTGTGTTGTTTTATTATAATTTTTGGTTAATCCGCTTCAAGAACAATAATTATCATTATTGTTATTATGTATTGTATTTCTATTCATTACTGTATATTGCTGTATCGCATTACTTACCCACTAGTAATCAGAAAAAAACTGTCTGTCTGTACGAGCACCACACAAATACTTGAATGAACCATATATAGATTAATTAGCAAAGCAAAGACAATTTTAAGTTTCGTACACAAGATGTGTTAAGCAAGTGCACAATCATTTCTCATGATCAGTTTAAATAGAATGAACAGTATTGACTGAACACATGCATATCAGAGCTTGCCTACCTAACAAGGTTGTGCAGCATGATTGTAACAAACGTGCCGGTTAAGACGCTAAATACAAAAGTGCCCATATATATACTAGTACGTAATTATATAATTCACCGTCCGCCGGCGAATATTGTGCAATTAAAGTGCTTTTTTACATATAATTATACACTTTACTGGAATTAAGTTAAATGTTACGAAGATTACACCGGCATTCCGCATACGTACTTTTTATCTCTATTTCTTGGATAACCTTATAAGCAGTATAACTCTTTTCAAGTCCGGGAACAAGAAACTGTGCAAATACTGTACTTGCAGAGCAAACTACTCGTATAAACAATATTGTTTCGCAAAAATCGTTGAATCACACCGATTCACACGCAATCACCGTTACCGCCTGCTTGATACACTTCCTGAAATTAATTCAGAAGAGAAAGGCTAGATGATTAAGTGAACCAGTAATATGAAGGAAAAACGTCGCGGCACGTAAGAGGTTTTTATAGGTACACGAGTCTTGCAATTTCTCAGGATATTCAAGTGTGTCACTATCGAAGTGCCCCGCACAATTACATACGTGAACAATCTTAACAATCTTCAGGAGAAAGGCGGCCGCAGTGTAATTAAGTGAATTTCTACAAAACACGCCATATTTATCCCCGAACTTTTCTCTACTTTACCCGACGGTGTTTGTTAGCGGAAACACATTCACAAGGTGCTGTACACGACTGTACTTGCTGACGTCACTCAGCTGCAGCCGGAGGTTGTAGCTGAGCATAGTGCTTACATGCCGCGCCAAATTTAAGAGAAAGGGCCCGGTACATGGCACCAAATACGTATACATTCACGGGAATTTTTCCTGTCGCGCACTTCAGATTGCTTTTACATTGTTTTAGAACATTGTGTAGTTAATTGATTTGTATACATTGCATGAAAACCGTTTGTGCACGCACCATCCGGTTGGAGAATTATGGCTATAAAAAAATTCCAAAAGTTTCAATGTATTCAGGTGTACCAAAAGTCTCATTATGGACCACTCCTCTCGAATTTGGCAAACAACAACACATGGCAGCGAAGATTTTTCTTACACCACACCACGCCTCTAACATTCTTTGCAAATTTTAAACTGGATTTCAAATATTTTAATCTATTTTTGATTGTGAAAAAAAAAATCAACTTTGATTCAGTTTAATAAGGATCTTCATTCATGCTTCTGGGCGTAAAAATGTGTATATGATATTAGCCATTAATTTGCTATTGGTCAAGTAAAGTACCGTACACTCGTACAGTACAAAATATTTTTAAAATTAAAAATCAATTCAGTGCAATAACTGTATTAGTGAATGAACTTCTGCAGTCTCCGTGAATGATTCACTGGTTATTTTTTCAGTGTTGTGGTCTTTACCACATTCCATTAAGGCACTGCTCCAGTTCTCGAATATTGTGGGCGCGTCAACTTTAATCATAACCGGTAGTAGTATATTGTCACCCGGGGAATGTCGCCGGCCTATGTATTCCTATACAATTCCAATTGCTATTCTAACCATGGGCGGTAACATCCATCAACTGTTCCACTACGCTGTCGGCGGAAACTGTGCTGCTCTGGAGATTTTGGTGGCATGTAAGCAGGGCAGCCAAGACCATGACGTTTCTTGTGGTGATGATCTCACGTCCACCATATATAAGCGATGTTTTCGTGTGCTTCCGGTGGATCCAAGTGGTCATCGGCGCTGCGTGGTTGATCGCCTGCTTTGAAAATTTCCTGGTGAGTAGTTGCCGAAAAAATTAAGTACTGACATTCCATAGCCAAAATACATTTCTGGTAAAAACTCCTGTAAATCCTGTAATGTAAAGCCATGTCATTTAACAGGATGTGAAGAAACATGACGGATCCGCAAACGGAAATGGGTGTGTCCTTCAGGAGACGGATGACGGGATCGATTGCGAACATAAGGCTTCGAAAGACCTTGCGAAGCCGCAGAATTTGGGATGCAATTATGCCAGACATGGATACATTACCATTAGTTAATGTTACCGCTTCCGGACTCCACTGGGGCACTGGAGCCCCGGCTGCTGGGAGGCTGGTGCTCTCTGTGATCGGCTGTGTGCGGTGACCGTGGGTCAGCGAGAAGCCGGCCGACCGGGGGTCGGCGGAAGAGAGCGACCAGTGCCCTGCGCAACCGAAGGCCCCTTTATTGAGCAAGTGCGAAATAACAGCAGAAGAAAACAGCAGGGTGTGGCGGGTGGTAAAAGAACAGAGATCACTCGCGCTCACACGATATCGAAGGAGCAAAGATAGACAGCAATGAGAGCTGCAGAACCATGCAGTGCGAGAACACGAACAGTACCAAGTGCAAACAGCATGCCCGTGCATGACGGCGGCCGCTTTGATCTAAGCGCCACGGCGACGCGCAGCGCCACCAACAACCTCACGTAACTCGCCACGCACGGCGAAAGGAGAGAGAGCGGGAGCGCATGCCCTCCAGCGAACATTAATAACAATTAACTCGTTAATTGTCATATAGTTTCAAGTGTACTTGTATATGTACTGTTATTTCTACCTTCATCAAGCGAGACACACAGCATGTTTATAAAATTTTCATGTTCCGCCATCATTAATTTTAATGAATAGAAGAAGCAGTAGTCCTGTAGCTTTTATTGTCATATTATGCAGTTCTGCGTAAATACGTAAGAAGATATAGCGCTAGTTTAGCGTCAGCGCTATATCTTCTTACGTACCCCAATTTGGGCTGAATTAATGAAAATATTTCACTATCGTTGCATGGTAAAGCATGTGATTTCAGCAATTAATGGCTACATCAAATTTTAAGCCAGATTAGTATATCAGTCGATGGTACCGATTCTCACTGCAACAGTTACAATACGGCAATAATTATTTACAATCAAGAACTGCTACATACAAATTACATATACGACTAGAACGATAAGTGCACCAAATGTAGACGTTTCGGAGGTACTTATATATATGACAGGAAACGTATACAATGGCATATCAGCCTGTCCCGGTCATTAATAATAGTACTTCTACCGGTAGTGTTTGTGTTCTTGTAAAACAAACAGAAAATAGGTTATGCATCTGCACTGGCTAGGTGTCTTTAAATTGTTTTCATGAGTGCAATCACTTATCACTCTGAGATAACGTTAACTGACTATAGTGGCTTTTGCTTGTAGAGTAATGCCATTTAAATAATAAAGCTAGGTTTATAGAATTTTACGTCATGATCAGTGCCATCAAAGGGCGCTAAAAATTTTCTTTTCTAACGAAAATTATTATGCCATGAGAATATGCGTTGTTCGGTTCTAATATTGCAACTTAGGGCATATCTGGGACAGCACCACCTGGCAACGTATTCGGCAGGACAGCTGTTCACTTCCGGCATTACTCCTACCGGTCGTTGGTGTTATTGTACCTCTATAATCCATAGGTTGCATATTGTGTTACAATAACCGATAGCCCGTGGTACGATAGGATGGGTTAACTAACCCTGAATAAACTTCGAAAAGTCTGGAAGTGGCGAGAACCAAACATTAAAAATAGGCATCGCTGAAATATTGAGCCTACCCATAAATAGGGTTCAGAGGGCCAGGTACGTACGTAACGAGACGTGCAGGTGTCAGTGTAAAAACACAGTATTAAGTGCACCCGCACACTAGAATTTATCATGGAAACCCTATTGATTTCCATGAGCCGATGTGTTTAAATCATCATTCACCAGCTACCTGGGCCGACGCTGTTATTTCCCAAGAATGTCAGGATCAGTTCTTTACTACACACACTACTGCCACGGTAAGCCAACCGTCAAACTCCTAAGAAGGTACAAGTTCCATCACAAGCGTATCTGTATGGTAGCTTACCAGGTTCTAATCTAGACACGACTGGTTTTCATTCGATGTACACTATTTGAAAAATTTTGCTAGATTCCTCTTGAAAATTGTCGCAGCAAGCTCGACATCCTATCCCAGAAATGTGGCTGGTTGAGGCACGACAGAGCCTTGTTAAAACCCGGGATGTGTTCATCTTGGCCCAAAGCCACTGGCTGGCCGGTACAGTGGCCCTTGCCCTTACCTTCCTCGGATTTGGCCGTGAGTACTGGCAATTTTTATTTTGAAAAAATTACTTTTAATCGATTACTCGCTCGGTCAGCGAGCAACTGGATCAAATAAAGTACTTATGTGTTAGCACAAGAACCATGCAAGAGACGCCGAAAAACTAACCGCCGTACTTATCACTATGGGTACTGGCTACCTATTTCCTTGAGTTTTGCGTTTGTATTTTACATATGCAGGAGAATTAAAATGCGTATTCATAGACAAATTCTTAGATAAACTACGAGTACTGAAGTATACTTAACAGCAGCCAAGGTGGGCTGCCATATCGACGAGACGGCCGCACAAACCACCGCTGTCAGTTTGTTAGCGCCCCGTTTAGCAGTGTTTTATTAATGCTAATTGTACTAACTAATAAACTTTTACTAACTAAGAAACAGTCTTTAAGTTATTTATCGGTAATAAGAAACTAATGGAACCTTTATACATGCGTATCTTCTCAAACCATAATAATTTCGCTTTAGTTTAATAAATCTGCCCTAACCCCTCCTCAAACATCACGAGTGACGCGTTGGTAAATTTTTGCAAAAAAAACCGGCCGCTTATTTATTATTTTTTCCTGCAGTTTCCGTTGACTGGTCATGGTCGTACCTGGAGGCCCGGGCTATAGTTCATCTGCATTCGTTCCTATTAGTCTACGCAGTCCTTCACCTTGGTATGCTCGTGGCTATCCAAGTTGACTGCGGAATGCATTGCATCTGGAAATGTAAGAAGCATTTAACTGCTCGGAATATGAAGGACGCGGAACATCTTTTTTCCTTGTGCTCTGTGTCAGTGCACTATTTCTCATCATCGCAATGCTGATCATGTACCGCGTCGTGTCCTTTCGCCAGTGCATGAGTCTTCAGACGGTACTTGATTCAGCCGGAGAACGTTGCTGTGCACAGCCTCATTGTAACCTTCAGCGACCATTCGTGGACTATGGTTACATTTACTTTTTGATTTACGGCTTCTGCATGGCCAATGCCATCTTCTCCATTGTAATGACTACGATTATTCTGATTAAGATGCCTGCAACGGAAATTGCCGTTGTGGGACATAAAGGGGATGGCATTAAAAAGTTGGAGTGCGACCTGGAAAAAGACCCGGGAATGGATGGTCTGGTGGAAGGCAAAGACATCGGCGGTCTACAATGTATTGAATGTGTTAAGGAATTCTTGGCCCGGCAACGGCAAAAATCGAAGCCCTATGTAACAGGACATTAAGGGACTGCTTGTTGACGAACAAGGGAAGCCACTACATCTGCACGTGTTTGCTTTCAGCTCGCGGATGAATCTTAAGTTGAAGAGCTAATCAACTTACGTTTCAAAGACTCAATCACTGTTTGCAAAAATACGTGTAAACCGGTTGTGTTGTTTAAACATATTTACGCTCTGTTTGCTTGAGTAATAATAATTATTAATATTGATTATTGACCCATTTATTGTACTCGTTAGACTGTTGCATAAAACCCTGCACTAGATTACTTATTAGATATCATAAGCAAAGTGTACGAGTATACAAATTTTCATATGAAGCATAGTTAGTAAACATATTCATTTTGCGAAGTATGTAATAATTATTCTTAAGATTTCCCACACGAAATGTACTAAGCATGCATTATAATCCAGAGGATCGATTAACCATGGCCAGTACATGTATTAGGCAGTATTAGGCAGTATTAAGTACAACACACAATATTCCAATTTTCGATTTGCAATTGCTCACCTTACACCATTCGTTAAATGCTACGGTATTTTGACGTAGTGACGGGTTCACATCATGTCTGTTTGACGAAGTGGGCGATCGACGAATTTTCGTCGACGAAATGGCGGGTCACCGTTTGTTTGATAGACGTTCGAAATGTTGCAGTAAATATTTGGAATTACACTGTTGCAATAACTGCCTGCATTAATGCATTCTTGAGAAATTAATCTACAGCACAACATGTTGTCCGGTTTTTGTGTACAGGAAGACTCCGAGAGCGAGCATTCAAAAAAGTGATTACGAAGAAACACGACGTGGTGCCAGGGTTCTTATGGTATACAAACTCGTAATTGCCTCAAGATAATACACCTCATGATGAGGTGCGCTGTGTAATTGGACACATGAATAACGTTAATAATTATCTCAGAAAGGCGGCCGCGGTATAATTACGGTCCCCCAAGTCCACCCAGAGTAAGTCCTGCAGCCTTTTTTTCTGCGCCTGCACGACATTGCTTGTGAGCAGAACGGATATTATTGCCGTCGCACTCCCATATCTGTAAATTTCATAACTGATTCCGTATAACTGACACTAACTTCAGCCTGACACAATCTACTCTACTCGGCATTACAAAAATGTAATTCTTGCAGTATTGCGAAGAAAAATAATTATTCGTTACTCGGCTTGAGTTTTTCGGTTGTCTTGGAAAATGCGTCGTGCCACATGTCCTTATCACCATGTCCAAAGCGATCCGCGGTCAACGTGGGAGGTGTCAGCAATCAGCATCGTGGCAGGACTGGTCGCTGCTTTCCTGAATGCGTTTGCGCTTGGAAGTTAGTAATCTTAGTACTGCTTTTTGAATCCATGGTATTTACGTGCACTTTTGAACTGAGAAACCCTGATTTGTCTATTATAATGTATGAGTAGCAGATGCAGGCACTATGCAGCACAAGATATAATTACCAGTATTTACCACGTAGAACTTAAAAAATGCAAACAAGCAGTGTTCTGTTCAAACACAGTGTTGACATCCATACGCCTTTAATATTTATATGTCCTTGTTGTACCTTCTTTTTAATTTTATTATTAAATCTTGCCGACTGGTCGAATATTTTGGGCCGACCGACTTTTTTTAATCATGCAATGCAGAACTGGTTTTTTACTGTGTAGTCCTAGAGTAGAGTAGATTGTATTGGGCGTTAATTTCCTATTGTTAATCAGTCAAACAAGCCATAAGTACAAAACACAAAAACCCACTTATGGTTAGATAAAGCTACGGTAATTTCTGCATCTTTTAAATTTTGTGTTGACAGATCTCATACACTTGATCTCATACACTTGATTGTTATCGTTAGTAAATCAAATTATTGTTGTAAATTTGTGAACGAACTATTGAAATCGCATCTAACGAACTTCTGGGTTTTTTCAGTGTTGTGGTCCTTACCGCATCCCATTCGTATACCTCTCCAGCTCGCAAATTTTATGACCGCATTGGGTATGGTCGGCACCGGCTGCGCTATGTTATACGGGACGTTTGGGCGGCATTTGTATAACGTTAAAATTGCAACGGCTACTACGACCATGGTCTACGGCATCTACCTTCTGGCGCAATATAATGCCGGTGGCAACTGTGCGGTCATGATGATTTTGCTGTTACGTTACCAGTGTAGCCAAGATTGCGGTGTTTCCTGCGATGGAGATCTCACAATTTTCATAACTCAGGTTTTCGTGATCGTTCAATCTATTCATATCGCCATCGGCGCCACGTGGTTTATCGTTTGCTATTCGAATTATCCTGGCCGGTCTGATGCGTCGGGGCAATGTACTCGAAAGAAGACGGACAATCGGGAGAACGATGATGAAACTGCGGTTAGTACAGTAGATGCTAAATAAATTTAGCAATCCATATCCAGAATATGAACGCACCTGTTTTGATTAGGTGCGTATAATATTAATAATAATGCATAATATTAATGTCATAGTACGATCGACAAGAAGCGAAGAAACAGCAAGGAGTTTCACAACAAGCAGATGTGTTTTTCCAGTTGCGCAACGCTGGCAATGAACGCAGAGTATGAACAACCCTGACGACCCTGCGCCGCTGAAGAGTGTCACGCCGCATTAGCTGGAAAAACGGATACCCTGGATAATGATGATACAATCCCTAAAATCAGATCAAATAGGGCGCATATGCGAATTTTCATTTTTTATTCTACATCAAGGTTGTTATTATGATAAAGCAATGTTGCTCTGCAGTATAACGTACTTGCACAACCACTTAGCGCATATCAGTCTACTTACATACATTGTTATAATAATATTGTTTGAACAGCCTGCTAATATGTAAGTATAATAAGCCAATCTAATTTTGATTATTTTGTTGTACGTACGCTTGCTTCGTATTCTGTTGCTTACCAAGGCATGTAAATTACTTTAAAATCGATTGGGTCTGGTAAATTGTTCAGCTGATAAAGAATAGACTATGGTACGATTCCGCAACTACCGTTCTACTAAGAGTCGACACTTCATGGCAAGAGCACCAAACACAAATATTTCTTTAAAATACAAATACGACACTTACACGAATAAAATATAGGGGAATTTACCTGCTGAGGCCAGCACTCCCTGTACTTGCTGCCGTCACCCGCCTGAAGTGTGACGTTACGGCAATACATACGGTTAAATCAGGCGCGGTACATAAGCACCATGTTTAGCCACAACGTAAAACTCCAGCCGGGTGACGGCAGCAAGTACAGGGAGTGCTGGCCTCAGCAGGTAAATTCCCCTTATATATTTAAACGAGTACCATCCTCGGATATTCGTATGAACGCTAGTGTGCAAGTGCACATGTAACTTGTTCAATCTGTCGAGATTCTCATTTCCGTGCGGAACAATTCAGTTAACTTTAGAATACTTTGCAACTGATTCAAGTTTCTAAGCCAATGCGCCAGGCGAACTAACTCCCATCATAATTACTACGAGTATTTCGTCAAGTTTTGCGCGAACACAGTTTTATTCAATGAAAGCGATATCAATATTTAATATATGAGTAAATATGTGCAAAAAGTATTATCATGACGGTGTTTAAGGTCACGCTACATAAAATTAAGTAAGACTTTTAGTATTCATGCGGCACTGCGACAACGCTGGTCTTTTAGTTCATGCAAATAATTAGATAATTAATAGACGCAGATAAATTGGTTCACAAAGCGTGGGCCAACACTTAATTCGATAAAAAGAAGCATAATGTGGAAAATTAATTTTGCGTGATATTGTAGCACCAGTTACTGAATAAGCGCTGTTGTTAGCGGTGTCGGGTCTTCATCTCCCAAGATACGAGTACATTTGGATATTGACCATCTATCGGCGCACGAACTGTGTAACCAGATCCATAGGAATCGGGAAAATAATGGTGGAGTTTTTGTCGGCTGAAATGGTGTTCAGGGTTTGAAGATAGCGCAGTTGGAGGGCGGCCGGAGACTCGGCGATGACATCAGCAGCCTCCTTAAGCGAGCGCGCGGCCTTTTGCTCTCCCTCAGCGGCAATAACCTGCATCATTTAGAAGACCATTTGGACATATCACCGGCGAAGTGAAGCAAAAATATGTAACAACCAGATCAATCTGCATGGTAACCAGTCGGTATTACCTTAGCTCGAGCTTCCCGAGCGGCTTCCGCCTCTGCTGCCATTGCACGTCGAAGGGCTACCGGCAGTCTGACATCCTTCCTTTAAAACAATAAGTGCACCAGTAAAAATTCAAAGAAGGGTTATTTGGTCGCTTTGCGAAACCATAAACGTACAAAACCTGTCTTCGCTTATACAGTGATGACACTCAAAATAGCTGCGAAGTACGGTATAAACTTAATTTAAATTCTAATGTAAAGTGCATGCGCAGTCAAATAAGTGATTTCACAACAGATCTGCTAAGAAATCTCAGTGCTTTTTGGCGGAATATATCTGTTTTACAGAGTGCACCTACACTTCGACGCGTTCCACCTTTATTCCCCAGGCGTCTGTAGATTGGTCCAGAAGGACCTATAAATTTTCATATTTTTAAACGGTATTAAAAATTTGGGCGAGCGACGTCGCCTGAATAGAACCGAAAACGCACTATACAATCTAAAACAATTCTAGCGCCCCCGGCGTAAGAGGCCGTACGCCTAAATATGAGTTATTTGCATTTCATGGAATAAGCAAAGATAAATCCAAAGTTCGTTGAATTAATAGTTCTGTTTTTATGTTCTTGAAATTTTTAATGTTTGCAATTTCTTGGGCAAGATTGCCGCATGTGAAAATGCCAGGTATTGTAACTATATCTATAATACGGGTATATCAGAATATCTGCACATGTATAGCCCAGCCAAAGCCTTAGGGGCTTTGTTGTAATACACAGTACATAAAAAAAGATAAAATTATTTAAATTTTTTTTATATTTAACACAGTCTGTACAATAATGCCGCTTGAGTAAGGCTTTGGCCCAGCCAACAGGAGAAATCCTAATTGTTAGAGAAATTTTGCCGCTTACTTGGACGGTGTTGCTGATGGTTTCACTGAAACACAGAATACTCATTTTACGATAATTTTAGCCGCAACTCGGCAAGCCTAAAATGTATAACAAATATACATACCGACACCGAAGTAAAGTACGACCAATATATTACTATAATGCTGCAGTAATGCACGACCGTACCAGTATAGTTTTATGCGGACTGTTACTGTAGGTTATCTGATTTTTGATACTTGGTTTATGCAGGTATATCGGGGTGTGTCAGTAATCAAGACACTATAAACACCTTACAATTTCTTACCGGTCCACCAGCAGATCATGTAAAGCTTTAGTTCCAAGGACGTTCCGCAGCGTTGTCTACAATAATTTGCATTGTGGGGGTCGGTTATTGCTAGGTTAGAGCATACCTGAGCCAGTAATCGCGTCGACTCATGCACCATCTCCACATTCAGGACCTGAATAAAATAATCTCTTAATACTGCATTGGTACATAATTACAAACATACATAATTACAAACATAATTACATACAATTGGTACATAATTACAAACACTAAACTAACGGTGAGTCGAAAAGAATTGATAAGCATATTCCATATTTTAGCAGTTCTTACCGAGGAAGTAGCGTTGAAGACGCGATAATATACCACTGCAACATATACAACATTATTATTAACAGTCTTTGAATAACATTATCGTTGTCTAGCCAAGCAAGCCTTCGCTGAAAAAACAAACAAAATTGTTTGTCAGTGAAGCAATTTCTAAAGCGTTTTTGTCGGGACCATATCAGTATATAGGTACTACAATATTATCACGGTAAATAAGCCGGTAATGATGACTACTGATGGCCTTCGAGTTTTGGTGTGTTTATTTTATGGGTTTGCTATTATGCTGTTTCCCGGTTCTACGGCAAGCAATTTTTTGACGCGCTTTAGACATCGTCGGAGCACAATACGCCGTCTTTAGAACGGCATGTTTCAGTATACTTATGGAGCCCCTTTTTATCTACATTTTCACGTCTAAAATACATGGTCTACGGAACTATATTATGGCTTTTTAAAGCTCAAAAAACACCCATCCTAAGGACATCTTTTGGATGAAGAAGACATGGGCGCTTTTTTCTCGAATAGAACCGGGTTTATTTAGCTTTATAATTAATTATAATTATAACAGACTTGCCTGCGTCCACAGTCACGGTCACCTGCAAAGAACCCGCAGTTACCAATTCGTCGGTAGTGATTTTTGTTTTAAATTTTTCATGAAGTACAAGCTTGTCCGGTAATTTTGCCGGTTCAAAACAGCGAAATACACAAATTTGCGTGTTACGCCAAACGTAGTGTGGTGGAAATCGCTATAGCGCAAACTTCACGCTAAATATGTGCTATCCGTACCTTTACGACAGAAATTACCGGACAAGCTTGTACATGGACTAATGCATGTTGCGCAGCAAACAGTAATTTGAAAACGCAGTTATTATCTTTTAGCATCTTTTTCTCTTAAGACTTTTGAAAGCAAAATGTTCAGAACTTCAGCTAGCAGCAAACGTTGAACGATTATGATGAGTTAGTGTAGCGTAGCTGGATAAACGGGTCCCTATATCCTTACATTCTATTAGAACTAGGAGGATAGAAACACCAGAAACCCAGACTACGGGCCAGATTCTCTTTAATTCAAGACCGAAATCCAAGAAAGCCAGAGAATGACATCATCACATTAGTCGTCGCTGCGCTTAAATAGCCTAAACTGGGCAATCTGTACTACCCATACGTCTCAAACAACTGCACTCGTACATACGTAAGCGGCACCGCAGTACTTAACGGTTGCTAGTTTTGGAAATTATCTCCTAAATCAACACTGATTTTTTCAATAAGTTGTTAATTTTATAAAATAGAACATCGCACAAACGTTCCTACCTTTATCTTCAAAAAAATCTTAAGTTTTGAAGAAGGTCTAACGAAATTTTTAAAAGTTGTAGTACTTTAGGGTTGTTAGTACTTAAAAATGTGGTACTACGTAAGTTGTAGTACTTAAATGCTGTTAGCTGTAGTACTTAAATGCTGTTAGCTTCTAGAGAGTTCGCAACTTAGCAACCTAAGCAATAGTTATTTAAAATTGCCAAATACATCAAACATAATTTTATTTTTTATAATTCTTGAAACCTTTAACACGTTCTTAAATCCGTTCGATTACCTCAACATAACTATAAATTCTTCCAAAGTCGGCTTTAAAGCTTTTACATTTCCAGAATTTCTAAATATTTCGACTCGGCCCCGCGCAGCGGGGCCGTTACCTCTAAATATTTTTAGCCTCCAGAGTTTCTAAATTTTAAAAATATCTAGAAATCTGAGTACCTTAATATCTCACTGTCTAAAGTGTCTAATTTATACGAGTATCTAATTCCTAAATATCTAAGAGCCGGCCCGCGGCCCATTTACTGAATTCATTAACGTAGCGGCTCTGTGGTACTGGTGGTAGCTTGGGCATTTACTAACATACGTTACTTTGTAATACTGATGGCAGCTCAGGTATTACTATTCACTAACCTCTAAATCTAATAATTTAATATGTATTTATTATTTAATTTATTTCTTTAAATACTGAACAGCTGGCTGAATGGCTAAAAATCTTGCAATTAGTAGCTAAAGATGCAGTCTGCGAGGTCATTTTGAGCATCTGTTTATTGTTTCCCACAAGTTTCATTGATTCTGCGCCGAAATATCGGCTCAAGGGAAGTGGCCCGGTACATGGTACCAAATTCGTGTACAAACACGGAAACTTTCACTTTCGCGCAATCCCAAACACTTTTTTGTTTCAGTTTATGACATTCTGTAGCCAGACGATTTGTATAAACTGGCCTGAAAACCGTTTGTGCGCGCAACATCCAGTTCGGGAGTTATGGCTGTAAGAAAATTCCAAGAAGTTTAAATGCATTCAGGTGTACCAAAAGTCTCATTATGGACCGATCTCTTTCGAATTTGGCACGTGAATGGACATGGCCATGAAGATCGTTTCTACACCGATCCAGACTTCCACGATTTTTTTCAAATTTAAAATGAATTTTAAAATTTTTGAAATTCATTTTAAAATTTGAAAATCATTCTAGAACAGTGGATCGGTGTAAAAACGTTCTTCGTGGTTATGTGCATTTACGTGCAAAATCTGAAAGAGATCAGTCCATAATGAGACTTTTGGTACACCTGAATGCATTTAAACTTTTTGGAATTTTCTAACAGCCATAAATTACGAACCGGATGTTGCGCCCGCAAACGGTTTTCAGGCCAGTGTAGACAAATCATTTGGCCACAGAATGTCATACAACAAGAGAAAAAAGGGTTTGGAAGTGGGCGACAGTGAAAGATTTCGTGCATATACACGAATCTGGTACTATGTACCGGGCCACTGTTTTATGGGCATCGTGTAAGTGATCCCACGCCATCCATTTTATCACCGTTTAAATATTATCTGTCGCACCAAAAAATTCAAGTTTCGAGTTGGCTAGATCATCAATATAAAATTACACTGAAAATATGAAAAAGAAAAACAAAAAGGAAAATTAAGGAGATTATTACATTACAGTTTTTATAAACTGATCGATTTTAACCGGAAAGCTCGAAAGTTGTCCGCATTTCTACATGTTTAAAATATTTTGGTAGCTGGCCTCGGTGGGTTTTATATTTGAAATATTTTATAGCTGTACGAAGCATATTTTGTAATTTCTTTTATTCTTCCATACCTTGAACACAACTGGTCGCGCGCTAGCGCGACCGATACTTGTAAATAAATAAACTTACCGAATCTTTCGTTAAGATTTCCTACAAAGTAAGATGAATTTACTTTTCAAGATCAACTCGAAAAAAATGCTGCATTGAAGTGAAATCAAACTATTTTTCGTATTATACCTGCTTCGGAATATCGTAGTTTTTGCACCTGTAAAAACACTCACATTTACATATTTCCATCCCTGCTCGTAGCTAACAAAAATGTGTCACAAGTTGCGCTACTTCTAGTACACTACCCGAAAGTTTGCTTACCTCATATCCACTTTGAAGAAACTTTCTAAAAATTCAACACATTGATAGACGTGAAATATTTTCATAACGTTTGCTCTGCTGCAAATTACAGAGCATACGCTCCAAGCGGCCGAGTCGGAAAATGACCGCGCGTTCATATTCCTTAACGACCTATAAACAGCGATTATAACGCCCGAAATTCGATTATTTATCACGTGCAAGAACTGGGTTATGTAAATAAGAACCGCCAGATGAACCTACTCTGAAACAGATGCATAAGGAAAACGGAAATGTGAATATAACCAGCAGCCAAGATAGTAGCCACAGGAATGTTGCACACACAACATCCCGATCCAGAAGTAACGTATCCGTCTGAAAAAAACGAATCACTGTACTTCTATGCAGTAATGAGAAATACAACAAATCAACCAACGACTTAGTGCGGAAATTGTTTTCGCAGCGAGTACCGGAAACCAGAAAATAAAGCTGTAATACTGCTCCCAACCCGTTTCTGTTTCTTTTATGATGATACTCTCCAGTTAATTAGCCATATCATTCTCGGTTTACGTATTTCAGTGTTTAACCTAAACAATGGCTTCGTGTAGTTTCATGATTTCCGTGTAGACAGACAACAGAAAGAAGTTATTGCAGCTAAGCAAGCCAATTTTGCCAGCATTTGTCCAGTGTACGTGCGCTCCCGCACAATGCAAAGTTAGAGTTGTGGTTTGGTGGAAAAAATAATTTTGCAAACAAGGTCGCAGGGCGCAGCACCGACCTTTTGCCTAGCAAGGACTTCATCGCTGTCAATTATAGGCGGAAAGTCGGAAACTGCCTTAATTGTCTTAATATTTATTCGCAAATAAAGTAACCCTCATTGTGAGCAGTCTTGAAATTAAAAAAGAAAGGAAGTACATTTAAAGAAAGTTACGCTTTATTGTCAGAATAGCTTTCGCTTTGTTACCTTTGTTACGAGTTAAATTAAAATCGGTAAACTCAAAAAACGTAAGATAATAAATTTAATTTGCAAAAACAGAAATAAAGCAGCATGTACCGTAATTTTATAGAAGAATACTGCAGCTGCAGCTGTAGACTGTGTGCTTACAATAGTGGGCGCTACTCTAGCCTCATAAAGCGCGATTCCCGAGCGCGATACCCAATCTGTCAAAAATTATGAAATGCAAAATTTTTAACGGCTAAATAAAAACATTTTAAAGCTGTACGAAAGCAATCATAATATGAAGCATCACAAATAACCAAATAGTTTCTGTCGAAAAGCTAAACAAATCATTAATTTTGAAAGTCCAAGTTTCTTTGCATTGTAACGAGTACAATATATGTATGAGAAAGAAAACTTCCAAATTTTGCCTATGCTATGCACTTGTTTTGGCAGTTTTGTCAACATCTTTATTATAAACTGTTTTCGCGCATATTAAAATCTCGTCTGAATGTGACGCCGCAATACGCGCCACCCGGTATACTCGTTCGATACATCGTATACATATAGCATAATACAGATACATAAAGTATACATGCGTAACGTTTTCCATCTATCTTTCATAACACAGCATAAAAAATTAATATTATTCAAGATGCTGCCTCGTGCGCAATTTTTACAGCTCTGGTTTTGGCAGAAAACCATGTACCGGACGGCGAACAGTGAATGGGTTTGTGACCTTGAATCAAATTCAAACGCACAATTAAATTTTTCAATTAAAATTAAATTACAATTAAATTAAATTAACGTACAATTAAATTAGAGTACACTAGCGCTTTAACAGAAGCATTATGACCAATTTGGTGTACAGACTATGTACATACCCTGTATTTCTGGAGTATCCGGTGTCTCGTTCCTCGGCCGTCGTACCGGGTGTAGCTCCAACCGCTCTTCTTGTGCCTCCTCCATTTTGCGGCTGAAATGCGGCAGATGGGATTACATGCGGTCTATGTCTAATTAATGGTTACGTTGATAGTAAAAGAAAAGCACTTACTGTATTAATTGCAAAATTTTAAGCGTCAACGATGAATTAAACGGCCGACATTCCAAGAATTTGTACACTAACTGCACAAAACAATTGCGTTAGCGTGCAGTGAGCATTAAAGTTACGATGACCAGACTTTAGATTAGATACACGAGGCTAAAAACAGCTTGCCTGTTGCGGTCGCTTTCTGACATGTGATTATATATTCCAACCGTACAGTTGATTTCCGCATTAGCGCTCTCATCGAACATCTCCCTCAGACTGACTTTACTCTAATATGATATCATCGTTCTGAATCAGTGATGAGGAGTGTCAGTAAATGGGGCGTATCAGCGTATTTAATTACCAGCATTTTAAAATCGCCTTCCTGCAACTGGATAGTCGACACCCTTCTGATGTCATGTTTTCGTTATTCCTAAGCTCCCGATAGATCTGTGGCGTTACTCTGGGCTCTTTTTTCCTCGGCATTGCCTCTGTTTTATGTGGGCCGAGGATGAGCCATTTTAGCGGAATGGTTCCGCGTCTCGGTATACGAAACCCCGGTCCAAAGCATATAGTCCCGCTGTCATCCAGCCATTCTTCATAAACACACTTAAATGAGCCAGTCCATGACGCAAGCATCAGCACGCAACCTTTAGCGAGCACGCTACATAGGTTTATAATTACAAATGGAATGAACCTCAATACCACAACGCCTGGAAAGAAATCTCTAACAAATCTAAGCTGCAAACAGATCTGCGGCAATGTAAAGTTTTTTTTATTTTCGAATTTGTTTCCATATGAATTAATTTAAAACTGCCGTTTGGTATTTGCAGAAGTTTCTCTATAAATTTTTAAAAGATCATAAGAAGTACATGACGACAGTATATATGTCGCCAACTTGCCATCACGGAAGTCTTAATAAAGTACTGTAGTAACATCATGAAAACTTAACAAACGCCTGACTTCAAATCAACGAACTCCGTTCTGTGCAGTTTTTATGGAATAACTGAAAGATATTTTTCTAAAATGTATTTCTTTTACGTCGTACCTTAACTTTTTTTAATTTGTACTTGTTTTCACTTATACTTTAATTACACCTGTAATTATTTATACCTTTATTTGTACCTATGTTTTAATTAGATTGTTGCCCAGCTCTAACTGTCAATAAGCAGGGCGCTATCCACTGGAAACTGAGAAACGGCTGAAAAAGGCGCCGATGGGGGAATCGAACCCCGGCTACGTCGTTAGATCCGCGTAGGCAGTACCACTGCACCACGGCGCAATACGTTGAAATCATATGAAAGATTTTGTCGCTGTACGTGAGCCGCTTCTCCACTCACATGTCCATGCTAAATCCTCTCCCTAGCTAGTTAAGAGCAACTCCCCTGTGATTACAGTAAAAATTAGAACGAGAATGCCATTTCATTGTTTATTATGTGTAATTTTTACTGTTCTTATGTTACTTGGCCATTTGATTGTTGTCCCCAGGCCAGTCTTTAGCTTTTTGGAAGGGGGGTGCGCAAAACCTCGCGCCAGCTGCGCCAGTTGGGAAATGGCCGAAAATTTCAGGAAAAACGTAGAAAAGTGGCTCAAAAAAGCCACTTTTCTACGATTTTCTATTGTAATTTTCGTTGCGCCCGCGCCAGTCGCATTTTCTTGCGCCAGCGCCAGCTCCCGGCACACGTTTTTCCCGTTTTCTCCCTCCGGGAGGGGGGGGGGCGCCTTAAAGACGGGCCTGGTTGTCCCTGAGTCTTTTATTTGGCTTATAAACCGGTCCTGCCTCTCATATCTCTTATGTTATTTCTGTAGAATTTAAACATGTGTAAGACACACCTATTAAAGTGCACAATCCTTATTACAATTTTTTTCTGACACCACTTGTACCGAAAGTACGTAATATGCTCTGCTGTGCACGGGCTTGCGAACACAATCTAATTGGCCCAAGTAGCGGAAGCAGTTGTTCCGGTATACATACACGTCTGCCAGGCTGCTTTAGTCGTATGCCCTAATCAGAAGGTGCCTCGGGTCGATCCAACGATGATATTCCTGGTACATACTTTAGATCGCTGTTTCTACATGAATATAAAGCAAGTAATTTTCTGCGTACATGCCACTATAAAGTCTGAGCCGCTATCCTTAAGCATTATTCTGGAAAAACCAATAACGATTTCTGCTGTAGACAGCAAAATTTTGTTTAAGAGCGGTGCATGTGGTCCGTATTTATACCGGTAAC